ATCGATTAAAATCGATAACTCACTTGCTTTAAACGTTAAAGCTTACATATTTGTTATTAGTATTACTCATAAGGTATACGAAAATTAGAAAATTAGAGGCATGTTAGTTCTTGTTTACTAGGCTTACGAAATAAGTGTTTTAGTGAGAAGAAGCAAAGCCACAGTCACAGCTATAGATGCAAGTCTCTAGCTGAGAATAGCCATGCGACAGGGTATTTGCTGGCCGAGTATGCCCGACTAAAGCACTCATACTATCCACACACACACATATATATATATATATATATATATATAAATATTCCTTTTTGCTTATTGGTATTTGGAGTCGCGCAGAGAGCTGAGCTGGGCTGAGGGCCAAGGCGCAGTCAAGCAAATGCAATAAACTCCGAACAAGTTTATTAAATTTACAGTTATGTGTGCAATGCAAGGTTGCTGCTGTTGTTGTTGTTGTTGCAGCTTAAATTGCCGACGGGATAAAAGCTGTTAAGTGTGAATGAAAATGCAATTGAAAAGTTAAGACAAAGCAATCGAGACTAAAGCAATTGAAAAGCGAGTCGAAAAAAAGCAGAAGAATAAGAAGAAGTGGGAAAATCCAGCAGGTGTCGAGCAAACGTTTTCCCAGCTAGTTTTCTCAATTTTCTTACCTTGATTTTTTTCTTTGCTTTGCGACTTCAGCTGAAAAGTAGGCAAAACACAAATCGAATTTCAAGAGAATTAAAACTTTTTGCGCTGCGTCTTGAATGGGCGAAATGCCAGCTAAGTGTGCGAGTGTGTGGGTGTGTATGTGTGTGTGTGCATCTCAAGCTGAGATTAGACATCTGAAATGTTTAGATTTCATTTAAAAGATAGTCACTTGCGCTTATTGGACTGTCAACTCAGCTCAACTCAGCTCAGCTCAAAAGTAGGCTACATAAAGAGTGGAGTACCTCAATAATAAATGAATACAAATGTTAGAGCATTTGCGATTGCATGTATATATATATAAATATATATGTGTATATATAGTTACATCTATATATATGGCCTAGATCTAAACATTTAGCTCTGATTCAAGGAAAAGCAAAGCTGAGAGCAAATTAAATTTCATTTTGTGTACTTGCATGAGAAATTTGGTTTTTCATTAAGTTTTAAGTGAAGCTACAAGTAGAAGACATATATATATATATATATATATATATATATATATATATATATATATATATATATATATATAAATCCCTTCTGGCAAATTAACTACAATTTAATTAAACTAAAGTTAAGATAACAGAGCAATGCATTGTGCTATTTCTATAATAAAGTTTTGCCTTCTAGCAAAAGATAACCAAGCTGCAGTGATGCTATGTTCGATAACAATATTTCAGCAGTTGTTAAAGTTATCGATAACACATAGCTCACAAAATATTCAATTAATTTGGCCATTTAATTACGAAACAGTTGCTGCTTCGCGAATAGTTGAAAAACTTACGCGAAATTCCAGCTCAACTGTTGCTAGAGAAGCGCTGCAAGTTGCGTGAGTGTAGCTGAGCTCAGAGCGACCAAGATTCGAGACGCCAATTGAACCAAATCAGCCAAGATGAAGCCTCAGGCTCAAAGCACTCACTGCCTGGCCAAGGCGGCTATTTGCATAATGTCTTGCTATAATTATAATGGCATGAATATGGCTTTAAGACTTAACTGAAAATATTGGCATGACTTAAGATGCTTTTGTTTCACAGCAATTTCTTAGCCTATAGCTCTCATTTGGTCACGCTATGAAACATTTTCTTAGCTCAGCTTTAGAAGAGTTGTCAACAAAACTCAAAAACTCATTTGTTTAAACAAGTTCACATATGGCTCAATGAAATTTTGAATCAAAGCTTGGCTTAACTATAAATTTCTGCATATTAATTGTATTAAATCTAACTCTGTCTGGCTCTCTCATCCTCTCCCCCTCTGTCCTCATTTTATGCATTATCCAGCCAATGATTAGGTTTGTTATGCATGGGAAAATCCGACCACATCACAGTTGAGCTAGCCTCAATAATTATGTAGATTCAGTTAATATGCTCGGCATTTGCATAATACAAACTCAGCCGGATGTGTGCACAGGCAATGCAATCATATATGATAACAAATTGGTAACATTTTTCAGTTATTCGAAAGTGAAGCGAATAATAAATTGAACAGATAAAATGCCAGAAGAGAGAAGGAGAGATGGGGCGAGAAGAGACTGAACAATGAGCGCAATTTGTTGGCTATAAGCGTTGCTATTTCCACTTCAGAGACGACAATGCCAATGCTGAGTAGACGAGCTAGTAGAAGAAGAAGAGCAAGCATTTTCCAAATGGAAATTCGGTGTGAGAACACGTTTTCCTCTGCTCCCATTTTCTTTTTTTACTTTCTCTATTTGTGTTTTTTTTTTTCGACTTTTTTGCGGTTGTAAAACAAACAGAAACGAGTTGGCGCGAACACCGTTTGGCAAATGATATATGTGAGTGGCTCTGCCAATGCTGCTGTTTGTTGTGCGTGTGTGAGTGTGTGTGAGACATATGTAGGATAACAAATCAATTTTAGTGCCAGACATCGCAAACCAAACGCAAAACTCCCACTGGAGTTGCACCTTCACGCTGGACATCGGCTAATTCGGGCGCACATATTACTTCCGCTGTGCCAAGCTCTGTAGGTGGAAACTCTGAGAATTGACAGCTTACAGTATTGTTTGAGATAGTGAGATATGTTCTTTGAGATATTGTAATTTATATATCACGGATAGCTGAAGCTGTCACAGCTGCAAATGCAAATGTATCAAAGGAAAACAAAAAATGTAGAAAACATTTCAATTGTCTCTAGACTCTGCCAACTACAGCTAAGGTACTTCAAAATAGATAGAGAGACAGGAAGTGGACAGGCTTCTCAATCCAGTGCTCGTAAGTAAGAGAGATGCTTTAAGCATCTTGAATAAGTTCTAGGAAGAAATCGAGTTTAGCTAAGCCTAGTTTCTAGCTATGCCTAAACACTTTGGGAATTATTGCGAAAAGAGTAAGCAAAGCTGTATAAAAGTGCTTTGTGAGCTGCCATCTACAGTTAAGGCACTTCAAAATAGATAGAGACAGGAAGTGGACTAGTGCTCTTTACAGGCTTCTCAATCCAGTACTCGTAAGTAAGAGAGATGCTTTAAGCATCTTGAATAAGTTCTAGGAAGAAATCGAGTTTAGCTAAGCCTAGTTTCTAGCTATGCCTAAACACTTTGGGAATTATTGCGAAAAGAGTAAGCAAAGCTGTATAAAAGTGCTTTGTGAGCTGCCATCTACAGTTAGCTAGAGACTAGAGCTTCAAGGCTTAGAGTTGATGTACTTGGAACATGAAGTTTTGCGAGTTGATATATAGAAGTGTTATCCAAGCAAAGTGATTGAGTTCAACTAAATTCACTTAGACCATTACCAACCTGGTCCAGTCATAGCCAACATAGTTTCTTAACAACTCGTGAAACCACTAAAAAAAGGAAGTTAAAATGTCAACGCAAAAAGGCAGTGGACAGCAGTTGCAGCAACAGCTCCGCAGCTCCGCTCCATCCGCATTTCAGCTGGGCGCTCGAGGCACTCAGTTTTTCGTTTATCTCAATAAATTCACTGGCGAAACGCAGCGAATCGCTGTCACTTTTGATTGTAATCGAGTGTTCGCAGCGTCGCTTTTTGCACTCCATCTAGCGCAACCGTCGGCAGCTCGGCCACGCAACACCATGTCCATGCCCGCTGTCAAACAGTTTGATATACTTTGCAAACTACGTTTATACGATATCCATGATGGGTCCTTGTGTGTGTGCGTGCGTGTGTGTGTGTGTGTGTGTGTGCTTGCCAATTGGATTTGACATTTTATTGGGTTTTCTTTCTCGTTACTGCCGCTCCACTGAGTCGCTGCTCCCTCTAACCGGCCCGGCTCAGTTGAGATGCTGTTGTAGTTGTAATTGATGTTCGGTTGCCTGGTCGAGTGTCCTTTGGTAACATAAATCTAATGACCTGAGCTACGCATACAGCTGCACTGGACTCGACTGCGGTTCGAAGTCGAGGAGATAACGTTCAGCCTGAAAGATTGAATTCCTTTGCCGTTCGTCCTGCCCAGTGCCTTGCCATGCCTCGGCTTGGCTTTCCCTTATTATTTTTGTTTATTTTTATTTTTTTTTTGGTAATTAGTGCAGAGGCAACTTGATTATCTTGCCTTGTACTACAAATTCGCCCCATTCCGACCCACTTCTGGACAGGGCCAGCACGTAATTGTGCTCGTATTGCAATCATTCATTTTGAGCTTGTTATAAAATAGCAAAAAAGCAAAAGGCCATAGTCAAATAACAGACAACTGGGCGGGCAGCAGGCGAAACATGCCTTAACAATGTTATTTTTTGCCCACTCAGAACCTGAATAAGCCAAGGACTGTGCCAAACAGATGTAGCTTAGACTATTATTAGCTATTTATGCTCAGTAACTTGGGAACCTGCTGTTGGGGGAAAATTCAACTGAAAACTGAAGTTGTTAAGTATTTCAAGACTCTAACTGCTAAAGATCTTATGGCATAGGTAAAGATAGTATAAAAATTTCGCGTGGCAGGCCACTCTTAGGGTCTAAGAGACTTAAGTCCTGGGGATACCTAAGTTAAGAGAAAACGCCCAACCACCAAATGCAACGCTTTTTGGCTTAGAGCCTAGTGTCCTAAGGATACCTAGATTAAAGGAAATCTTCCAACCCCTAAGTGTAACTGACTTTATCGTCTTAGAGCCTAGGGTCCTAAGGATACCTAGATTCAAGGAAAACTTCCAAACACTAAATATAATAGTTTTTATCGTCTTAGAGCCCAGGGTCCTGGTTGATAAAAATCTATCAGCCAACCGATTTAACTCCCTTTAGCTGCATTCAAAGTAGTCAATCTGTGAGCCATTGGATCTACGAGTCTAGGATCTTGAGGATACCTAGATTAAGGAAAAACTGGCAATCCCTTAATCTTCATCTCTTTTTCATCATCATTTGCAGGTCTCTCGGACACTAAGCTACACGAAATCTTTTTGGATGACAAGGAAATCAAGCTGAGCTGGATGGTCGACTGGTATAAGCAGGAGGTGCTTTTCCATCTACAGAATGCCTTCAATGAGCAGCATCGCTGGTTCTATTTGGGCTTTTCGAAACGTGGCAGCTTGGCCGATGCCGACATTTGCTTCTTTGAGAATCAGAATGGATTCTTCAATGTGGTCACCGACACCTACACCAGCCCCGACGGCCATTGGGTGCGCAAGGACTATCAGCAGGACTGCGAGGTCTTCAAAATGGATGAGTTTACCTTGGCCTTCAAGCGCAAGTTCGATACCTGCGATCCGCTCGATCTGCGTTTGCATGTAGGTGGAATGACAGACATCAAAATTGGTATAATCTAAGCTATATGTAATGCAGGAGGGCACCATGTACGTGGTCTGGGCACGCGGCGAGTCGGAGCTCGCTCTGGAGGATCATCAGTTCGCGCTGCCAAATGTGACGGCTCCGCACGAGGCGGGTCTTAAGATGCTGCAGCTGCTACGCGCCGACAAGATACTCATACCCGAAACGTAAGTAAAGCAAGGCTCTTCCCGTCCCCCCCTGTTACGCTCTTGGCTATTCCCTAGTGACTTGCAACAAATCGAAATAACGCTGGAACAAGCGCCGGTGCCCAATCGAGAGACCACCTACTGGTGCCATGTGCAGCGCCTGGACGAGTTCGTCAAGAATCGTTTGCATATTGTCCAGTTCGAGCCAATCATCAAGTCGCCCGGCATTGTCCATCACATGGAGATCTTCCACTGCGAGACGGACGAGCATGTTGACATACCGCTGTACAACGGCGACTGCGAGCAGCTGCCCTTGGCAGCCAAGGTCTGCTCCAAGGTAATGGCACTGTGGGCCATGGGTGCCAGCACTTTTACGTATCCGCCAGAAGCTGGCCTGCCAATCGGTGGTCCCGGCTTCAATCCCTACGTGCGGCTCGAGGTGCACTTCAATAATCCAGAGCTACAGGAGGGTGAGTGCAGTTGCCAAGCAAACAAAAAAATCATGGGGAATAATGAAAAGAGTTGCCAACAGTTCGATCTAAACAAAAATTAACGAAGAGTACAAAGAGACTCCAGATCGAGTTCAAGTTCAACATCAAGATCCAGATGAAGTTTAATTTTCATTTCCAGATCAAGATGAAAGCCTGAAGTATGAAAAGCCTGGGAACCTAGGCACCTTTAGGTTTTTGCTTCCATCAATAGTTTAAGTTTGGTTCTAGAACCAATTTACATCAAAGTATATCCAGGAAAATCTCAGCAGCAGCACATTCATGCAAGGGTTAGGGTATCATTGCGTCGTTCACGCTGCAATAGATATCTTTGTTTAGTTACCAACACTGTTTTTAGAAAAACCTCAAATGAAAAGTAGAAAGCGGCAAGAATGTGGTCACACTGACAATGGCAATTTGCCAGGGGTAATTCGATTTAGATGATTGTTGAGCTGCTGCTTTTGTGTGACGCGTTCCTCACTTCCGTCCTTCCTTGCTTCCATTATTTTTTTGTGAGAGTACACAAAAACACACACACACATATATATATATATATAGACATACATTTAGGGGTATGCATAGGGTTGATTTCATTAAAACTTTTGTATAAATAACAACAAGAGGGAGTGACTGTGGCTGCTACAAACAGCAGACGCAAAATGTCATTATTGCTGCTTGGAGTGTCCTTGTGTCCCCTTATATCCTTACACATCCTTGTCGATGGCCTCATCTAGCGCAATGCATGGCCACACAGTCTCCTCACTGAACCACTCAGCCCAATGTCTTACTCACGGTGTCTATTTGTTTGGGTGTGTGTGTGTGTGTGACAGCTAGAGATGGGTCGAATTTCCAGCCAAGCGAACACGAAAAATAAAGCAAGAACACGCATGTTATACACGCATAATTATAAAAATACAATTTTTTCTGTCCGACTTCTTGTTTGTTTTTTTTTTTTTTTTATTTATGGAATTGCACATTTGATGCTCAAATTATTTCTCTATGTCTAAAGTGTGTAATTTTTTTTATATTATTTATTTTTTTTAAATCTATTATATTTTTATAGTAACTAATTTTTTTATTTAATATTTCTTTAAACATTTTTTAAGTCATTTTTTTTTATATATAAAAAAATTGTTTGTTATGTTTATTTTTCTTTATACCTTTTAAAATTTGTTTTTTTAATATTACAATATTTAATTTGTAAATTTTTCTCAACACATTTTTATAAAATTTGTATAAAAAAATTTTTTCTTTTGTTAATATGTAAAAATATGTATATATATATTTATTTTTAAAATTCTTTAAATATTAAAATAATGTTTTTGTTATACATCTTAAGTTATTTTTTTATATAAAAAATAAACCATAATTTTGATTTGTTTTTACATATTTCTTAAATAATCTTATTTTGTTTAAAAAAATTTGTATTATTATTTACATATCTGCTTATACATTTTTTTATTTTTGTTTTGAAGAAATAAAAATATTATTTATAAAATATTATTATTAAAAATATTATTATAATCGTTTGTAAAAATTATTAAAAAATTTTAAATCTTTTATAAAAATAATTTATAATTTTAAATATATATTTTTTATTCCCTAAAATATTTTTAATTTATTAATTAATATAATTTTTTTGCTTAATTAAACTTTAAATTCATTTTTTTAATGTTTAAAGTTAGTTTTTCGTTTGAGATTGGAATCTCGCACTTGGTTTAAATCCTGAATTTCTTTTAATTTTTTTTTTTTTTTTTTCAAATTAAAATTCTATAAATTGTTTTCAAATTTCTTTTTATCAGCCACGTCACGAACTGTTTTTGGTTTTATATAGTTATCGCACGTTAGCACGTGATGCTGAGTCGTGCGTGTGTTTGCGCCTGGGAGGAATGGGAAGTCGTGTGTGCATCTTCAAGTGAACTGCTGTCTGCCTCAGTTGCTGTGCACTTGCATTAATATTAATCATACGCCCTGCAGGTCTGATGGATAGCTCTGGATTTCGCATAAAATTATCCAAGGCATTGCGGCAGTACGACGCTGGCGTCATGGAATTGGGTCTCGAGTATACGGACAAAATGGCCATACCACCCGGCCAGACGGCCTTTCCGCTGAGTGGCTACTGTGTGGCGGACTGTACACGGGCCGCGCTGCCAAAGACGGGCATCATTATCTTTGGATCGCAGCTGCATACGCATTTGCGGGGCGTTCGCATCCTGACCAGACACTTCCGCGGCGAGCAGGAGTTGCGCGAGGTAAATCGCGATGATTACTATTCGCATCATTTTCAGGAGATGCGCACGTTGCACTACAAGCCGCGCGTTCTGCCGGTAAGCATTAAGGTCTTTCTCTCTCTGAATATACCATATACTCCCTCTCTCTCTCTCTGTCGTTCTGCATCTCTCTCTTTGCAGGGCGATGCATTGGTCACCACCTGCTATTATAATACGCTGGGCTATGCGAATGCCACGCTCGGCGGCTTCTCCATTAGCGATGAGATGTGCGTCAACTATATACACTACTATCCGGCCACCAAGCTGGAGGTGTGCAAGAGTTCCGTTTCCGAGGAGACACTCGAGGATTATTTTATCTATATGAAGCGGTAAGCGGATGAAAGGCGGGCGTGCTTAATGTTTCAATTAAGACGCAGAGTGAGGAAGGCGCTGGAGTTAACAGCGGGAGCGCGACTTGTGGGTGAGAGTGGGTAGGGTAGGGTAGGGTAAGGTAAGAAACTTCCCCAGCGACACCAGCGACACAGCAACTTAATGGCTCCATCTCGATTTCTCTCTCTCTCTGTATATTTATCTCTATCTCTGTGTCTGTTCGTTCTTCCATCAAAGGCAAAAGTTTGGCATTCCGGCATTTGTTGTGGCTCCGGTTTGCGGCTGCCGCGCTTTAAGCGTATTCATAACGGAAATGTCTTCAGCTTCCTGTTCGTCCGTCTATCCGGCCGTTCCTCCGTCCGTCGGTTCGCGCTTTCCAAGGTGCACGCTAATTGCCTGCGTTAATGGGCCCAGGCCTAACAGCAACAAACTGGCAAAGCCCTCGAAGGCGCTTCGCATTGTTAGTTCGCTGTTTGTGAAGCCAGCGTCAAAAGAAAAGCGAAAACTCTTCTGCTCTTTATTTTTGAGCATTAGATTAGAGACTTGCGAGACTTGGCAAACTTGTGAGACTTTTTGGCAGCCGAAAAATTGGGTTCAAGCCTGGTGCGGTGCACAAAAGGCGGCTGATTGAATGAGAATGGGAAAACTTATGAAAATTTACGTAGCACAAAAAGGTAAAATCCGTAGGTGTCCGCAAGCTGTGACGGGCATAAAGAAAGCTTAGCCAAATAGGCCAAAGGGATAGATATCTATAGCCACCTCTAAGTTCCCATAACAAGAGCCTGGGAAATGTGTTTGTAAAATTTATGATACCCAAAACAAAGACGAGAAAACATCTAAAGTGCGTTGAAATTGAAAAATAGCTCATTGTGTTTCATTTCCACTTCATTCCACTTTCTGTTTTAAGTTTTAGTCATGAGATTTTTGTATCAAAATTTAATATTACTGTTAATACACGTTGCTTCAATGAAGGCTGTTTCATTCCATCGTTCCAGCTGATGTTAGTTGTTAGTTGTTGGGTTCTAAAAGTTTAATTTCAACATTTTAAGCACGCTTCATTTTATTTTGCTTTTTCCTTCTTACTTGTTTCATTCCATCGTTTCAGTTTATATATTAAGCTATAGCTGTTTCATCTCATCATTGAATGCAACCGAAGTTTAATTTAGCTACTTCGTATTTAACATACTGTATTGTGTTTGTTTCATTCTATAGTTCCAACCCATCGAGTTCCAACATATTTTTGCTATACAGTTTATTCCGCCATTCCATACTCAGTTTTTTAGCTGTAGTATTTAGTTAAAGCAAGCTCTGCTTGTACTTATGCCAATGTTCCATTCCAGTGTTTCAAAATATTATATTTGTTTCCCACATAAAATCTTCGATATTATTAACTTCAAGCTTAATAAGGTGATCACAAAATGTTTCTTTTCCGCACGTTTTTTTTCTTGAATGAGCTTTTTTCTTGTAAGATCCAAATATTTCATTTCACTGTTCCATTATCGCAATACAATTTTATTTATAATTTTCTCGCGGTTCTCTTTGATAAGGTCTTATATAATGTGGGCAGTGTTAATCAATTTCTGGCATTTTGCAACACTGGAAACTAAGAATTTCCTCATCCTCTCTCTCTCCCTCTCTTCCACTGCATCTCTGTCTCTATCCAGGAAGGAACATCAGCATGGCATACACTTGAACGGGGCACGTTCTGCGAATTATCGGACTATCGAATGGACACAGCCGCATGTCGACCAATTATATACGATGTACATGCAGGAGCCGCTCAGCATGCAGTGCAACCGATCCGATGGCCAGCGCTTTGAGGGACGCAACTGGGAGGGCGTGGCACCGACGCCAGTCCAAATCAAAATACCCATCCATCGGAAGCTCTGCCCCAACTACAATCCTCTATGGCTGAAGCCATTGGAGAAGGGCGAATGCGATTTGCTAGGCGAGTGCATCTACTAGGAGCGTTGAGCAATGAGCAAAGCAAACGGATACGCAATTCCAATTACGTATTTCGGCAAACGGGGCGGGGCATGAACACATGGCACTCACACGCACACACACACGCACACACATACTTGAGTCGCGGCATGCGATTACAAATGGCATGCTTTTGGCAGCGGGTTCGTTAGGCCCTCTCTAAATGTTCTTTTCTCTATTTTTTTTCTGTTGTTGTTTATATAGTGGTATTTGGCGATTGTCATCAGGAACATCAGCATCAACGCTTAGTGTCAATTGAAATGGCAAAGACAAAAGGTTGGCGGGCGGGTTTGGGCAGCAGCCAGTGGAGGAGGCGGAGGAGGAGGGGCAGGCGGCTGGGTGTTGGGCAACCAAAAAAACTTTCTTTAAATAACTAATGAATTGTTGGCCTTTGAAATTTGCCGACTGGCTGCTGGCCCCGGCTTGAAGCGGCAAATGACACAAAAGGAAAATGTAAAAGAAATGTGAGGGAGAAAAGGCAGCAGAGAAACAAAACAAAATAAACGAAATGCCGTAAGGAAAATAAATGGAGAAGAAGCTGCTGCTGCTGCTGCTGCTGCTGCTGCTACAAAAGCAAGCGACAGCGCGCCGGAGGCCACGGACTGAAACAGTTTTCAATGCAAGCTAACGGCCCTGTTTATACAATATAAATGAGTCAACTTTTGAGCCTGTCGAAACGAGTGTAAGATAAAAAGGCCGCCCTGCCCACCTGTCCACCTGTCCATCTGCCCATACCTACCCCACACACCTGCTCACCAGCCAGCTCTAATTACCAGACATCGAGTCAAGTGCAACTTACTCGCTCTTTGCCATTTCAATTAATTTTCTTTTATTTTTTTTTTTGGATAGCCAACAGCCAGGCATGTGTCCAAAGCGATTGCCACACGCTATCGATAGTGAGCATTTATCGATATTTGATTTTGGTATATCAAAGTTTGCTTCTAGGTTAGGGTGAGAAATGTGAGTTGAGATGGATGGACTGTCACTGCGTCAATGCATGATGAGCAGTCGCGGAGAGAGTGGGTATGAATGAGTATAAGATGAAAAGAGTATAAGAAGAAATGGGCATAAGATGAAATGAGTATAAGTGCAGAATAGAATGAGCTAAAGTGTGTATGAGTCGAAATGAGTATACGTTCAGCTGAGCATGAGTGAAAGTGAGTATAAGATCAGCTGAGTGTGAGCTGAAGTAAGTATAATATCAACTGAGTATGAGTGAAAGTCCGTATAAGATCAGTTAAGTATGAGTTTAAGATCAGCTGAGTATGTGTGAAAGTGAGAATAAGTTCTTCCGAGTAGAAGTTGAAGTGATTATAAGTTCTTCTAAGGATGAGTTGAAGTGAGTATCAGTTCTTCTGAATATAAGTCGAAGTGGGCATAAGATCAGTTGAGTATGAGTAAAAGTGAGTTTGAGATCAGCTGAGAATGTGTAAATGAGAATAAGTTCTTCCGAGTATGAGTTGAAGTGAGTATAAGATCAGCTGAGTGTAAGTATACGAGTGTAGAAATGAATATAAGATGAGTATAAGAGAAGACTAAGAGTAGTGATGACTTTGAATACAGAATCGATACTTACAGATCAAATAGTATCGATAGTTATACAGTTTCAATTTACAGTGAGAATGTTGTGTATGTTTGACAGCTTTCGACTGCTTTTGAGAACCTTCCCGTGCTTCAAAGTTATTGTTGTTGCTGTTCCTGATGATCAATAGCGACTTTTGGTAAATTTTTTTTTTTTTTTTTGGTAAAATGAAAACACAAATGAAAAAACCAAAGATGATAAAAATAAATTTGATGTACACAAAATACATATGCAGAAAACATTGAATGGATATGTCTAAGTGTAGCTACATACATATATATTTAAGATGTGATAATTGTTCTACGGCTAAACACAAAAACAAAACCTATATATGTACTAGATGGAAATTTATATATAAAACAATGGAAACAAAGAAAACTAACCAAAAAAAAAAAAAAACAACATAAAAAATTATATATACATATATATTATATATAAAATGGAATGTATACAAAAAGTATCTAATAAAAAATGACCACCATACCAGAAAAAATGTGTGTTTTTTTAAGAGGAAGTAAGGAGTTTTCAGCTTTTAACAAAGTTTTTTCTTTTTTTTTTTTTTTTTTTTTTTTTTTTTTTTGGAGTTGCAGAACTTTAAATTGTATTAAGAAAATATATGTTTGATATTGATGAAACAAATTTTATTGAAAGGAAAATGTTATAACATTTATGTTTAAATTCAAAGGTAACAAATTTAAGATCTGAACATGTTTTTTTCAAGATACAGCAAATATATTTATATCAAATATTTAAAAAATTTGAAGAAGTTTTTTTTTAATAAAACTCAGATAAAGTTGAAGAAATAAAAAGGTTGAAAAATGTTTAATTAAAATAAGAATTCAGTTGGGCTTTAGTTTGTTTCATATGTCGTAGAGACTTTGGCTACATATATTCTACAGTGGCTACCAAAACTAATCAAGACACTTAACTGTGATGAAATCTGGCAGGGCTTTGTCTACCCTTTCCATCTGACGGAATTGCAATTGACTGAAATGCATGTTAAAAGCTTTGAATCGTTTGCTAAAAGTTTGCACTGACTGATACATTGCTGCTGGCCGCCTTTGGGCCGGGTCTGCTTTGTTCCATTCCATTTCATTCCATTTCGTTTCATACCAATCTGTCTGCATATTTTAGCCTTCGATGCAGCATTTTAATTGATTTTCAGTTTTGTGCGACGAGAAGGAACGCCGTTTGCCGTTATGAAAGTATTAAAAACGGTTGCAATCCAATTAAAAGTTTTTTTAAACGAAATCATGCAACAAAAAAAAAAAACCCCAGACACACTCACACACGTACACAACCGCACAGAAATATTTTAATATTCATTGGCGCGCACAAAGCTGCAAAAAAAAACTAAATAAAAATCGTATATAAAACGTTGCAAAACATTATTTACGTTTATTTTTTTGTGCTCTTCTAAAGGGCATCATAATTTGATCATTAGCATTGTAATGTCTGAAGGACTTATGGGGTATATATGCTAAACAGGAAGGCGAAATATCTATACATAGATATATATTGTGAAAACTATTTTCCATCTCCGTTGCAATGTTTATTCGACTTTGCTTAGCTATAATTAACCAACTGCTACCAAGCCTAAAAAGTATCATATACCTTACTTTCTATCAATCTTTCCATCGATCTATATTAATCTCTCTATCAACTATCCCATCAATCTATATTAATCTCTCTATTCCAACTATGTGTCAATCGATCAAATAGTCAATCAATATATCCATCAATCTATATATTAATCTATTTACCACCCTATATATCTATCAATCAATCAAATCAATCGATCAATCTATTAAGCAATAAAGCGATCAATCAATTAATCAATCCATCAGTCTATCTATGTACCCAGCAATCTATCAATCTCTCTAAAAGTATATCTATCAATCTTGCTAACTAGCTTTATATCAATCAGTCAATCTATCAATCTATTTGACTTGAATTTTCCGATCGTTAGGGTATTTCAGACTCGACTTCTCTTTCTAGTTTAGTTTATTCTTTTTGCTTTACAACCCCCAAACTAAATTGGAATCCGTGCACAGCTATTACGGCCCCGGATACGTATTTTATATGCACATTTAATCATTGCACTCGCCTTTTAAGTGGCCCTGGAACTCCACTTAAAAGCGAGCAGACTCCACAGAGGGTTGTCTCTTTAGCGTTATTTTATGACAGATTTTTAATGGCAATAGCCTCGTAATGCCCCAGCTCTCAAACTATTTTAATTTGAAGTAGTTTCTGGGGCTTGTCGTAAAGAGGCCAGATTTCAAGTTAACAAGTTAAATAAACGGATAAAGGGCGTTAACAGCACATAATCACTTAATAAGCTGTAAATTGTGAGCTTTCCTAACTGTGAGATACCTTGTCAAAACAACAAAAGATGAGAAAATGATCAGTAATTAGCAATTTAATATATATATTCTTAGATTGAAGTATTTCCAACTCTTTATATATAGGGTATGTAGAGCCCTGCTTAACAAGTGCAGAGCCTGGATATGCATATTTAATAATATATCAAAATATATATGTATTATAAATATTTTAGAGAGCTTTCATTATGTTTCATTTTATTTCATTTCATTTTAATTTGTATGGCTTCATAATAAATTGTTTCTGCTTATTATTATATTATATATTAAAAGCTCTATAAATATTGGCATTCAAGCAGATAAGCAGCTTTCAAGCGCGAAGCTGCGATAGAAAAGACACAAAGCGAAGGTTAGTAAAGTTATTTTTAGACACAGCAGAGAGCACGATGCATGATCGGGCGCGGCGTAAATTTGCTCTTCGCTTTGTAGTTATTTACCGTTTTCTAAGCTGTGCTGCTTGTATTCGACGACGTTGACTTCGGCGTCGCTGCTTTTTGAAACGAGAAGTCAGTTAGCTTTTGTAGCTGGTCCATGCGACAGCAGTGGACGACGCCATATTGGGGTACCAAATGCAGCTGACCAAAGAGGCTCTCCCTCAGCCAGGGTATCTCGGCGCAAATGTCCGCACAAAACGAGCCAAGCTCCGGCACAGTGTACTGCAAGCAAGAGAGCGGACAGCTTAAAAGAGAGGCAAAGAGAGCGTGAAAGAGAGCAGAGAGTGGGATGGCTTACGTATGGTGAATTGTGCGCGACAACAACAAACTCATCAGCGACAGTGCCCGTTGGCTGGAGCGCTCGAACATGCGCCCAGATGTGCTCCGGCACAGGCAAAGGTGCATTGCCTGCGCTATCCAGCAGCAGCAACGGACGAGTGGCATTGCAACTTTCGGCAATGGGCAGCGTTGCCACGCCCGAAAGGCCTAAGCGCACATCAAACTGCCCTCTGTAAACAGCATCATCTGCATGGTTGCTGGCAACGCGTAAAGCGTTCAGCCAGTTCAGCCAGTTGCCCGTGCGCAGCGCGCGCATCCATACAATGCTCAGCATATCGCTATAGCTACTTAGTTCTTTGTTCAGCGGGGCATCCTGCAGCAGGCTGTCGTATTCAAACAATTTTCCGTCGTACAGCGCGCCCAGCTGCTGTTGTCGATCGATCATTTGCTGGAAGTCCGTCTTGGTGGGAAAACTAAAGTATTTGCTTAAGCTGCCCAGATAAGTGTCCAGCTTGAGTCCGTCCAACTCCTGGCCCGTCTGCCTCTCAAGCAGCACATTACGCGGTGCATACGCCAAGTAGCTGATGAATAGCAGCCGCGAGGAGGCCAGATCGAAGCACACACCCAACTTTTTAACATCCGGCAGTCCATTAAGCTTGTAGCCGATGATCAGAGTCATTGCGTCGGCAGCGCAGCCGCTGAGACTGCGATTGCTTTCATATAGGGTTTGAGTGAAGCCGGCGCTGCACGCGACTGAAGCGCTTCTGTGCTGCTCTATTATCTGGCGATCGTCCAAATAGATGCCATTCTCACTACACAGCAGCTCCGTTGTATCCGCATATACCTTGATCGGCTGGCCACTATACTGAGAGATGCTGATGCCTGTGGGACAATGGATGGTGATCGACTCGTTTGGTGACAACTGGATGTTTGTCAATGTGTGCTTCACCACAGCCGTTTTGCTGCCGAACTTTTTCACCACGATCGGCCTCGGCTCCCCCACAAGCAAGTCGCAGACAGCCAAAGCGCCCGTCACGCTCAATAGCAGCCAAACCCAACACGTCCGCCACATCTCAACTCACAATTCGCACTGATCGCTGTACGAGCTGAGACTTGCTTGAGAAGAGCGTCTGACGCGTGACGCGAGTGTTCGCTTGTATTGTAATTATGTTTTTTTCTTTCGAAGAATCATTCTCACTCATTTCTTTTTTGCAGATTAACTTTTGTCTCGCGCGCTTCCGACTGCATAATGCTCGCTGAATCAGTTTTTCTAAATATCAAGAGAGTGAGTCCGCAGTAACGTTACTGTTCAACTGTGGCACATGCGAACGCCACAAAAGGATGGATATACATATACTATACTATACTAATCCATATTTCAATTTTTGGCTTCAGTTGTGGCGAAATGCTTTTCCGCTTATACGGACAGTCAGACGGACGGATTGGCGAATGGATGGACGAAGGGCCAAACGGCCGCACAGACGCTTGGACAGACGGAAGGACAGACAGAGAGAATAACGGATGCACTCGACGGACGAATAGACGAAGAGACAAGCGGACACACTCGACGGATGAATAGACGGAAGGATAGACTGGGAGAGGAAGTGATACACTCGTCGGACGGATAGACGAAGGAAGTGATGAACGAATGAATGGATAGACGAAAGTACAACAGAAGAAGAGACGGAAGGACAGACGGAAGGGCGAACATCGCACACAACCAATATACTCTTCTCACTTCGTGAACGAGCATCACAAACTAAAAATAAATTGCCCCAAACAAAATAAAGAATAAACAACTGAATAAATTAACAAATCATTCAAAGTCATAATAACAAGGGGAATCCCAGCTTCATTGTGTGCCAAGCTGTTCATATATAACATGCTATAGCTTCTATATATATATATATATATATATATATATATATATATATATATATAAAGAAATATTTGATATTATTAACTATAGTGTAGGAAGTCTATTGAAAATATTTTAGATATATGAATCTAAGACTTTGCATAGTTTCACTAATGTATCTATTCGATATGCTATCAATTAAGCAAAAGTCAAGTGAAGCCCGTACATGACACGCTCAAAGACATGTCAGCTACGCTGTCATTGCGCTCAAAAGACTTACAAATTTGCAGTAATAATAAAAGTTTGACCATATAGTCGGCTTATAGTAAGGCGATTTTCCATGCGATTCAATGATGGACCACTGAATATTCGAGCGATTCCATTAGCGTTATTTGATTAACCACATGAAGGAAGATAAGCGCTGGCAGCAGTCAACCAGAGCGTGACCTGTACAAAGCTTTATATAGATTTTACATACATAGACACATGTGTGTGTGCGTTTGAGCGTGTGTGTGTGAATCAAAATTTGTGGTGCGGCAAAAAGTCAAGTGGCAACACGCGTAACGCAGCGAAACGTTCAAATGAATACGTGAGAAGGCGTTGCAAGGCAGCCATACGCACACTCTTACATGTGTGCGTGTGTGTGTGTGTGTGTGTGTGTGTGTGCGTGCGTGTGTAATCGCCTTTTTGGCTGCCTGCCATTGCATTTGCGCACACGCATGCAAAGCACATTTAATCAAGCGACTCGTGGCGCCTGCCCCCTACCCTCCATTTGCCGCTGCTGCTACTGCCACGCCTCCCTTTTTGCTTACTGTTTTCAGGACTTGAGTGAAACGTGGAACTATGCGATGCGTGAGAAACGTGTGTGGCTGCTAGGGGCTAGGGAGGCTCAAGGTTGCAGGTTGAAGGTTGGGGGTGTCATCATTACAAGTCTGCCATCATTTTCATTTTCATCAGCATTTGGCTAAAACATTTATCTGCACACCAATCACACACACACACACACACACACACACACTACATAATAACAGCATTTAATGTCAGAAACTTTTTGATGTGCTCTAATTTATATACAAAACCCAAGCAGACAGCGAGTTGAGACTGTGCGTCTGTCTGGCACTCTGGCAGCACGGCCAAGATGATGCTCGCATCTGTCTGGTAACGCTGTCACCTTGCCCGGTGACTCCCCTTCCCCATCGACGGCTGCAGCTGTTGACGCATTGTTGGCTCGTTAAAGAAAATTTGTTTTCACGCTTGATGGCAAATTGGGCGCGATCCACGCCCACGCCCACACACGCACAGACCGCCGCCCCCTCCATCATACCTCTGCACTTGACTTTGGTATGCTGTGCATTGGACCCGTTAATATTTCATATGTCAACGCAAGCAACAAACCCTCTCCCTCCTCTCACTCTGCACCCCTACCCCATCCACTCCCCATCTGCCGCGCTAACATCCATTCGCTTGTTTTTTAATGTGGGGCATTCCCCCATTTCATATATTCCTTTTTTTTCGTTTGTTCTTAAGCGTGGCCTTAAATCGCTTGTGTTTAAAAAATTTGATTATGTGAAATTCTCATGCGGGGAAATTAAATTTATACACAGATTCACAATTTTTGGTGCCTGATTGTTGTTGGTGTTGCTGTTGCTGTCTCGCATTTTCATTTTTTATGACGGCTTTTCCGCATTTGCAAGCATCAAGCAGAAAAGCGGCGGAAAACAAAAAAAAAACAAAAATCGCGAACTGGGCGCTACTGCCAGATACCCTGTAATTCGGTTACACTAATAGATGCTTTGCATTTTCTACATAGCATGGGAACCGGGAACAGAATCGCACTCAGATATCATAGCTAGACCCAGACAGTCTGGATAGGGCATTGGCGCTAGGAGAACGCTCGGACGTCACAAGACGATTTAAGACATACGTGATCGGACTTACAGTATATCATAATTGTAATATATATATATACTAAATTTATATTTATTGTCTAAAGATTTTTCTAAATATTTCAAAAAAAAAAAAAAAAAAAAAATAAAAAATTATAGCTCTAACAGAGACTAGAGAAATCATAGTTACAAACATATTTTTTCTTATAAAATATATCGATTTTTTCCTTTGTTTTTAATCTACGGGAGTAGTTTATAGTTGTTATATATTATTTTTTATTTTTATTTATTTTTTTTTATATATTATATTATTTTGTTATATATTATTTATATTGCAAATTTTAATTTGAATAGTTAGTTAGCAATACTTTTTGAACACATCTCGTTTGTATAAAGATTATGCAGATAAAAAGCACTTCATTATAACTAGCGACTCACTCAGAAGACCACTCTTGTAGCTCAATATGTATTCAGATGCAATTATTTCTATCTCATGTGTGAGCACACCATTCAGCGTGCACAGCAAGTTTACAGGGTATTTGATAAAGAAAACATGCAAGAAATCAAGAACATGCGACTGACACATTCAGTCAGCCAGCGAAATTAAGCTACAACGGCTTCAGTTTCAGCACAATCGTTACGCTCCTTAAATACCCAATAAGAATGTTAATAGAGCCATCAAAATACGACGTAAAATCTTAAGCGGAATTTCGCAAAGAATGTCGTATAAAACAGTTCATGGAAGTTCGTTTCAAAAATTCAAATTTTATTATTTATATAAGTTTCAGAATTTTGGAATTCAACTTGTGCATCAGAGCTTATTATTAAAAAAATATATATTATATATTATTATATATATATATATATATATATATATATATATTACCTTAATATATAATATATATATATATATATATATATTTTTTTTTTTTTTTTTTTTTTTTGATCTTTTAATTATCTATATGATATATTATTTCATTTTTAGTTTTTATTATAGTTTATTAATATATATAATATATATGTGTGTGCTGTTTGTTCATAAAACTAGTTTCAGAGACTGAAACTTTTGAAGAAAACTTTCTTCTTTATTTAAAAAGCTTTAAAGCTCACATTCAAATCAGATTAAAAAGCCAATATGATATGTAAGTATTAGTATAATTTATTTTTATTGTTTTATTGATTGTTATTTTGTTATTTTTTTTTTCATATAACATATTTTTTAATAATTATACTAATATTTTTTATTATTATTTTTTAATATTATTTTTCTTATTATTTTTATTTTTTATTCTAAATTTTTATTATTTTTGCTTGTGGATTTTTTTTTATTACATTTTTATTAATATTTTATATTGTTATTTTGTAATATTATTATTTATAATTATTTTTGATTAATATTTTATAATATTATTTCTTAGTATTATTTCTTTATTATTTCTTATAATAATTTTTTATTATTATTTTTTATTAAAATTATTATTATTTTATCATTAAAATATTTTATTTATTATATAAACGAATTTCAAATTAGCAAATTCTAATTTCAGCTTATTTATTTTGAGCTCTTTGCAGGGTATTCGAAGGTCTATGCGTGACTTGCTACTGATTTCCTTATTTGCAGTGTGTGTTAAGCGACTTAAAACAGCTTAAATGCTGTTGCTGCTGGTGCCGTCAGCTGAGAAGGAGGCGGTGACTGTGAACCGGAACTGGGTCTGGGTCTGGGTCTGGGCCTGGGCTCGGGTCTGCCAAGAAGAAGAAGACGAAGAAGACAGGAGGCACGGTACACAGTACATGGAGTATGGCATACACAAGGACATAACATCGTCACCGTCATTGTCATTGCCATTGTCATTGGCATTTGCGCTTTAAAGGACAACGGCTGGCAAATGTTTGCGATTTATGCATAATTTATGCAAAAAGAGACACAACAACAATTTGACATTAATCAGTATGCTTTATTGACTTGACCCACGCACACATACACATACACGACAAAGGCGAGAAAGGGAGACAGATCAATGAGAGAGGGAGATTGTGTGTGTCTGTGGGAGGTGGACAGGCGCGAGCGTTCCTCATGACGTCTGTGTTGGCATCGTGCTTGACATTCCCCATAACTTAATCAAGAAATTCTTTATGCATCCAGCTCCCCATATATTCCTTCTCCATACCCTCGAAAAATGCATGTGGCAGGCTGTGTTGGCTTGTGTGTGTTTGTGTAACAGTCAGCAAAAGGCAGGCAAGCGACTTGGCATATATCTCAATTGAAATCGATAAATATCGATTTTGATATTTTATTTGCGTAGAAGACTTGAAATATGATATGTAAATCGCTGTTTCTATGCTAAGCTTTTCGAATTGCAATGCACATATTACCGATAAGTATCGATGTTTAACTTTTCACATCCTATTGATGTATATATATATGTTATATGTTATGTGTATATTATCAACTATGATTATTCCCATTTCACATACTATCGATAAATATCGATTTTTATATCGACTCCTTATTTTTATTTTATTTAAAAAAGGATCATCAAATTTATGTACGAATTATGCTCTAATTCAGAAAAATTAGTTTTTCATGCTCATCGTTAGCTATGTTAATTTCACGACAAATCGATAAATATCGATTCACTACACATGAGCTAGAGAATTATTTGGCTTGTGGTATTCACATATATATATATATTGTTACAGGGTATTTTGCAGTCGGGCAATCTGTCGGTCGACGCCCCCGTTCGTTATGTGCGGTCTGTCGTCATCTCATCAATGGCGTTAATGTCCCTCGTTTCTATTGTGGCTTCGTGCCTTTTGTTTTCGACAATGAATGCGACTTTGACATTCCGTTGCCTCTTTGCGGTCCATAATTTTTTCCTGTTTCCTTTTGTCGCAGGAATTTTAATAAAATTCTCTAGTAAAAAATGCTTGACAGCCATTTCTTTATTAATGAATACCTGCAGCTATTTCTATCGGCAGG